TATAAATTATTGTCTTTTAGCAATTTTCTCAATGGGTCAACCCCATAATAATAATATTTATAAATTATTGTCTTATATATAGCATTTTTCTACTAAAGTTTTGAGTTTAACATTGTCTCTGGTCTCTGAAAAGAAAGATACAACAAATATTTCTACATACAAAAAAAAAAAAAAAACAAATATTTCTTATATAAATAAAGCATTTAGTTAATTAATTAATTATTTGGTTAATACTTAATAATCAGGTAAAACAATCTTCCCTTCCTGTTCAGCAGCCGTCTTCTGCTCCGTCGCTCTCAACCAAACACACACCACCGTAAAACTCAGTGCCAAGCTCAACAGCCCACTTCCCAACCCGATCCCCACAATCGCCACCACCGACAACCCTTTACTCTTCATCGGAGGCAACGGATACCCATAAAGATCTTTGTTACCATAATACGAGCTGACATTGAATCGGGGCAAGTTCCCCGTTCTGTTTCCCAAGCTCGCCGGAATCGGCCCGGATAATTTGTTGTTAGAAACGTCGAAAACAGATAACCTCACCAAAGATCCAATCTGCGGCGGAATTGTGCCGGTGAGAATGTTATCGTGGAGGTCAATGACATTGAGATAAAAGCACATGGGAAGGGAAGGTGGGATGGCGCCGGAGAGGCGGTTGGCGGAGAGGTTGAGGACGGCGAGGTTGACAAGGTACTGAATTTCGTCGGGGAGAGGTCCGGTGAGGGAGTTGTTGGAGAGGTCTAGCGATTGTAGGTTTGTGCAGTTGGAGATGTAAGGTGAGATGGAGCCACGGAGAGAGAGGTTCTGGAGGGAGAGCTTGTAGATTCGGCCATTGTTGCAGGTGGCTCCGACGAGGTTGGAATTGAAATCGGAACAGGGGTTTGAGAAGGCGAGTTTGGTCCAGTTATGGAGGTTTCCGATGGGGTCCTGAAAGGATTCGAATAGATGGGTTAAACATGATTCGTCTTTCTGATCTGTGGTTGATGGAGGGAGGAAGATGGAGATTAGGATCAATAAGAGGGATAATTTGGGAACATGAACACCCATGTTTATGTTAAGAAGAAAAATCTTGAAAACAAAACAATTGATTGATCGAATTTGAAGGATTGTTGGGGAGAAAGAACGAGGGGTTTTCAGGTTTCAATTTTCTCTCTCCTTCTGGAGTATGAACTTGATTACAGGTGCGCATGTGAGAGAGAAGAGACTCAATGAGTAATGTTTTAGAAAAATGTTATATAGTTCAAAATTTAATTTGATTCGATAATTTGATGTTATAGCATATTAGCATGTTGGTGTTTTTTTTTCAATAGTATCTGCAAATAGGAAAGTATTTTATAAAGGTTTAATATCAAATTAAGTATTTTATAAAATTTTAATATCAAATTGGTGTAATTTCAAAAAAAAAAAATAATAAAACAAAAAATAAATAAAACAAAAATATTAAGATATTTATATTATAGGAAATTCTTTATAAAATTTATCTCTTTATTATCAGTTTCTGTTTATATCATTTTTATAAGATTTTTATAAGGTAATACAAATGAAATTATATAATATATATATATATAATATATATATATATATTATATATATAATTTTCTTAATATACAAAAGATAATAAATATAAACTTTCATTTGGATCTCTTTTTCCTGTGTATATATATATATATATATATATATTATATATATAGATATATATATATATATATATGAAATTAAATTAAAAAAATTTGTAACACCCTAATTTTAATATAAAGTACATAACCAAATCCTTCTTAAAATCTTATTCACACAAAAATGATTACTCTCATATTAAGAGAAGTATATCAAATACATATACATGATATAATACAACAAAACTACAGAAATGGTATAGCAAGTTACTACATTAAAAGTGCCAAAAGTCTACTATTCTCAAAGTCTATACATGTCATAGCATAACGTTACTCTACTTTACCTAGGATCCACTATCTCATAGTGCTACCTAATTTTTTCAGTGATCTCCATCTCATAGCATCACACCAATTTATTCGTAATCTTCATATCAAAAAATTCCCCCAAATTCAAATTAATCATCTCCATCTCACAGCATCATCAATTCCCGGATGACAATCTTCATTTTAAAGAATTGCCAACTAATTAGTTCTTTTCAAGCAAAAGTTTAATCATCATCAACATCATAACTATTTATAAGTTTCTCCTTATCACCTAAATGATGAGTTATCAATGTCAACGCATATAACAACAATATATGATATCAAGCCCCCCTAACTCCTATCATGATTCGGCCCACCCTTTTTAATATATACCACAACAGAATATGATTTTATCATCCTTTTCATAAATCATACTATCATTTTAACTAGCCTTCATCAACTAGAAGATTTGTATTCATTTTTACAAGTTTTCCTAAATCTATTAAAATCCACTTACAACCGTGGCTTCCAAATTTGCATCGGTAAGAGAAATAAATTGTCAAATTTCATTCACTCAAATCATTATTGGTATTTGTTAACTAGATATATATGATTAAGTTGCTTCCCTTCCGATTATCACTTTAGAACTCTATCGATGGTGGGTATATGAAACATCATACATAGTCATCACTAATCTCGGATAGTAATACCCACATTCTACTTGCAACCAAGAATGATAAAAAGTTGGTTATATCTAACATCCCAAAAAATCAGCATAATCTTTGTGTAAAGTGTAAAAATCTATAAATTGTCTTTCATAAATAAACTAACCAAACAATATATGGGGGAAACTAAGTTATTACGCATGAGATAAACTATATTATGGTAATGACTTCAATCTAAAAAAGTATTGTCTGACATTTATACTTCTATTTAATCCAATATTAAGTAACACTTATGTTTGGTAATACATGCCACTAACACTGTAGGCAAGACAATAACAACTCATGAGAACTCAAAAATTCTAGAAAACCCGAGAAAACTTTTCAATTTTTTTCGTCAAGTGTTCTTTTAAAAAAAACACATAATAGCTTATGACGTTTGAATGAAAGAAGCCCATTCCCTGAAGAATAATACTAAAAAAACATGATTTTATGAAAAGTACATGTATACACATTTAAAAAAAAAAAAAAAAAAAAAAAAAAAAAAAAAAAAAACCACATTTTTTCAGGAAAAAGAAAAAAAAAGTTTGGAGAGTATGTACCTACTTAATGGATAAAGTAGTTTTCTTTAAGTTGGGTGGAAAGTTTTTACTAAGTTATATATATATATATATATATATATATATATATATATATATATATATATATATATATATATATATATATATATATATATATATATATATATATATATATAATAGGTTATGACCCGTGTACTACACGGGAATAACATAAAACAATGCTACAATTATTTTTAGAGGCTTAGATGTTTTATCCGTAACTATATAATTATTAGTTTAAATTAATTTTGCAATGTATTTTGAATATATGAGCAAACGCATGTGTTTAGATTTCTCCACAAAATTACATGCTTTTCTATTTTGAAAGAAATCTACTTATCTTTAAATTTGTCACAATCGTTTACCTGAAAAAAAATGAAAATTAACACACTAATATTTTTAACCCATATTTATGAAACGACCCTTAATAAACAGATTAGACACAACAATCAAATTAAAACAACAATTTTTATAAATTGTCTATTCTTACAAAGCACATTATCTTTTATTTGTACCTGTAATTATGAGCGTTTGTTTGTAAGTAAAGAAAGTCATATGAAAATAACACACTCTTTCCTTTTTAACAATTATAAAAATTTATTTAAATATTTACTATCAAATGAAAGGGCTTAAATAGTTGGAAAGTTGCACTCAGTGTAATTAAATTTAAATGTTAACTAAAATCTTCTAAATTCGACGATGAATAAACTCATTAGCCACGAACATTCAAAAGTAAACTCTTATGTGTGAATTTCAATTTAAATGGCTACAGCCACACAATGCATATCAATCCCGAATCCTTTAATAAAATCAAACCTTCGAAGGAACGATCTCGTTCTAATTTATAGTACCTAATGAAATCATTACATAAAAATGTTCAAAATCATAGAATTTTACACAATGGCAACGTACTTACAACACCATAAAAGCAATATACTTACATTATGCTCATCTGCATATTGAGGGCTCTTGCACTTTGGACTTATATAAAAATTTCTCATAAAAACGTTACCAAACAAAAGAGAAAAAAAACAAATCAATGCATGAAAGAGTAGACCACGTAACCAGGAAATCCAGTAAGAATTCAACATTTAATGACCTCAATACTGTATAATCCGATATGTTTTAATTTCCATTATACCACTTTCCAAGAAAGTTTTGTCATGCGATCTCATGTATGAAAGAAATCATAATCACATCATAGAATGACAATTGGCAGGTACAACTCCATACTACAACTCCATATTGATCCTAATATTTAAGCTTTTGGTGTAAAAAAGGCACTTCCAAATCTAGAATCCAAAGCACTCTATAAGAAATTAAGTTGATTCATAATGGAATTTATGATTTAATCAATAACAATGAATAGTCTCTTTGTAACGTCCAAAAATTTCACGCCAAATTCAAACTTTTTAAATCACAAATAAAAGTCAAATAGTATTGTTTACAAAATGTTTTCAAATCAATATCCATCAGAATGTCCCAAAATCATAACATAAGGATGAGGAGCGGTACGGTCACGCCTTCGCCTTGCCACGATCTCCTGAAGTACCTGAAACAATAAACTGAAAACTGTAAGCCCGAGGGCTTAGTGAGCTACCCCCAAAATACCAATACCACAATGACAATACCATATCAGTAACAATCAATCAATCAATCATGCATACTGGGCCATCGGCCTGACTGGTCCGCCCTACCGGGCCTACAGTCTATCTGAATCTATTCATGCATATTGGGCCATCGGCCTGACTGGACCGCCCTACCGGGCCAACAGTCTATCAGAATCTATCCCGAGCCTTCGGCATAACTGGTCCGCCTCGTGGGCCTGCAGTCTCCCCGGACCGCTCATAGGGTATGTTGGCCTTCAGCATAAAGCAGGACCGCCTCAACCCAACCAATAAGCAAATAACCAAGTTCGCATAACTATCATATACTGGCATATACAAACATCAAACATATCTGTCATACTGATCATCAACCATAAAATCCTCTCGTAACTATAGTACCGACCTAGCAGGTCAGTAACATACCAATCCTTACGGATCATAAAGCATAACATACTGTCTACCCTGATTCCGATCTAGCAGACCAAACCATATGTAGCATACCATAACAATAACAACTAAAAGGGCCGGCCTTGGTGTCGTAGACCCTATCGATATAGTGAGGATAACTCACCTCGCAGATGCCGACTCGAAAGGTAAACTCCAATTCTCGGATCACTTGACACAGGCTCCACCACCTATGACCATAGTACAATATACTCATAAGTCCTTAAATCTATAAGGTACTCCATAACCCACCAGTCAACCCCTGGTCAAGGTCAAAGTCCTCAGTCAAGGTCAACAGTCCATGTTGACCCCCAACTCGTCGAGTACCCTTGGCTACTCGCCGAGTTCCTCGAAGCACATTCCACTCGTCGAGTCATCGGGGTGACTCGTCGAGTTCCTTCGTTTCCCGTTCAAACTCTAAGGCCACCCGTCGAGTTTCCTCCTTGCCACTCGACGGGCACACACGCATACATATCCTAGGGAAAACTCATCCGACTCGCCAAGTTGTTCTTCAACTCGTCGAGTCTTATGGTGATCTTCATTGGACTCGCCGAGTTGTTCATCCAACTCGTCGAGTTCACGGCCATCTTCATGTGACTCGCCGAGTCAACCTTGCGACTCGCCGAGTCCATTCAGTCCTTTTTCCATACAGACTTGTTTTGAGCCATGCAGCGGCTCCAAATCACAGATCCAAGCTTCTAGGGCATGTTTTTCACGTAAAGTTGCAAACTTTACGTGCATGCATGACTAATAAGGCTCTTAATGCCAAAACTAAGTTCTTAATGGGGCTTTATGCAC